TAGACCAGTGGCGTGGTCTTGTGTTCATTTATTATGTTGAACAATATTCTGTTCCATTGTGTACATAATGTATGTATGTTTGTATATATATATATATATATATATATATATATATATATATATATATATATAAAATGTAATAATATTATAACTAAGACGAACTCTGTGTACACGTATGAAACCAAATTTTAATACAGATTAATTTGTGGCCCTGAAAAGGGCCTTTTTATACAATAATAACAACAACAATTCACCGAACGAACGTTCGCATACATTGGAATTATCATCATTATTATCGCGTTGCGCGTTCGTTTAGGCGCGTTCTCCGCGGATCCTGCGAGCCAGCTGAATGTCCTTGGGCATGATGGTGACACGCTTGGCGTGGATCGCGCACAGATTGGTGTCCTCGAACAGACTGACCAGATAGGCCTCGCTGGCCTCCTGGAGGGCCATCACGGCGGAGCTCTGGAAACGCAAGTCCGTCTTGAAGTCCTGGGCGATCTCGCGCACAAGACGCTGGAACGGCAGCTTGCGGATGAGGAGCTCGGTGCTCTTCTGGTAGCGACGGATCTCACGGAGTGCGACGGTTCCGGGCCTGTATCTGTGCGGCTTCTTGACTCCGCCGGTGGCCGGTGCGCTCTTACGCGCAGCCTTAGTGGCGAGCTGTTTACGGGGCGCCTTGCCACCGGTAGATTTACGGGCAGTCTGCTTTGTACGGGCCATCTCTCACTCGCTGACACTACACGAATAGTTTGAAATCGGTTATCAGTTACGTACGGTACGCACTACACGCTCGTCACGACGGTCGGGGTACGAATACTTATAAAACATGCAGAGATCGCCTCTTTATAGAGCTCTATATATATCTCCGTCTCGTTCTAGGGCGCGAGAATACCGAAATGTTACGAACGAACGAACGAACGAATACGTGCGGATATGTATGTATGTATGTATGATTGTATGTTGTAGAAATAATAATTATACAGTAAGTTAATTATTTAGGAGAGATTTCTTTAGGAAAAGAGAGAAAAAAATAATAATAATAAAATAAAAATCGGAGTCGGGCAGTCGGGCGCGGGCGGGCTCGGTGTGTGTGATAAGATACAGATCAGTGTCTGCCGCCTGTGCGTGAATTTTCGAACGATGTATGCATGCATGTATTTAAAATTGATTGATTGCCGGTTTTTGTATATTACTTAATGTATGTATGAGTTTGGTGATATGTGTGGAATTTTTCGGTTGTGTCGTCGTGTTTTAATGAAATTGTGATTATTAGGTACGGCTATATCTATAATATGTATACACTATATTATTTACTTTATCTTGGAGCGTAACATCCGGTCTATTGTAATGGATGGTTTTCTTTTTGTCTGTCAGTATAGCACGGTCTGTAATTTGTATTTTCGAGAACGGAATTTGGTGTGTATTTGTATAAGTATATAGTGTGTATGTGTCTCTGGGATGAGTTTGTGTTTGATTGCTAATTTTTGGTGTATTATATTTACTTTCGACATTTTTATCATCTGCTATTTATTGTAGGTACTTTAATCATATATATTTTCGTGGAGGGAATGATAATAATATTATGTTTGGGTCATTAGGGGCTAGTGCGTGCGCGCGCGCGGCATTTTAAGTAATTACCTAACGATAATGATTATTCCTAAAATCCCTCTAATAATATTGTTTATCATTGATTCACGTCAACATGTAAACGATCAATGTTTTTGGAATATCATTATTATTATCATCGTCATAATCAATTTCATAACGAACAAAAAGAATAATATATTATATGCCCATTTATGATGAGTCAGGAGAGGGAGAGACGTGTTCGTGAAACTGTACAAAATATGAATTGTTTTGTGGCCCTGAAAAGGGCCTTTTTGTAAAGAAATGATGCGCGCACGTACAATGACGACGACACGACCATTTACTTCGAGCTGGTGTATTTGGTGACCGCTTTGGTGCCTTCGCTGACCGCGTGCTTCGCCAACTCACCGGGGAGCAGGAGCCTCACGGAGGTCTGCACCTCCCTGGACGTGATCGTGGACCTCTTGTTGTAGTGGGCCAGGCGAGACGCCTCGGCGGCGATGCGCTCGAAGATGTCGTTCACGAAAGAGTTCATGATCGACATCGCCTTACTGGAGATACCGGTGTCCGGATGGACCTGCTTGAGCACTTTGTAGATGTAGATGGCGTAGCTCTCCTTCCTCTTGTGCTTCTTCTTTTTCTTATCGGACTTGGAGATGTTCTTTTGGGCCTTGCCCGACTTCTTCGCCGCCTTTCCGCTAGTCTTGGGTGGCATTGTCGATGAGTACGTACGTTCGGTTCGAGGGTGCGAACTGAAATGATGCCTACCGGTCGCGCGCGCAGTATACATTCTTATTATCGACGCGTAAACGGCCGGAACGCGCACCAGTGTACTTATTATTCGGACCAATAGAAGCGCCCCGAGTTTTATACGGGAGTTGGCCGGGGGGAGAGAGCGGGGGGGGGCACGGTAGTTCGGTGCTGCCGCCCGTACCCCTCGCACCGTTAATATACATTTCTCAGATATTAGATGTTTTCTATCCTATAAGTTGACCCGAACAATCACCTATATCACCATACCAAATTTCATCAAAATCCATCCCTTCTGTCGTTTTTCCCTGATGCGGGGTCACACACAGACAGACGGATGGACGAAAATTTAAAAAAAATATATATATATATATATATATATATATATATTTATATATATTCAGCCTCTGTATCGATAATAATATCTATTAATTAAATTTTACGAAAAATATTTAATGTACAGATTCGGCTTAGTTACAACTATATTATGTGTATAGATTTTTTATAATATTTACATATATTACATTTTATTTACATTATTAGTTTAGGAGATGAGCCGGAATAAACGGACAGATGGACGGACGGACAGACAGACAGACAAAGATTTTAAACAGTTTCATATATGCATTTAAAAAAAAAAAGAAAAATTTCCGTTATTTTAACATTACACACTCTTCAAATTTGTATATAAAACGCATTAAAAAAAAGTATCTTATTGAAAAAAAAAAGTGTATTATTTTAACATTACCAGCAGACTCACACGACACACATGACACACGACACACACGACACACATGACACACGACACACACGACACACATGACACACGACACACACACGACACACATGAAACACACGACACACACGACACACACGTCACACATGAAACACACGACACACACGTCACACATGACACACATGAAACACACGACACACACGACACACATGAAACACACGACACACACGTCACACATGACACACACGACACACATGAAACACACGACACACACGACACACATGAAACACACGACACACACGACACACACACGACACACATGAAACACACGACACACACGACACACACGTCACACATGAAACACACGACACACACGTCACACATGACACACATGAAACACACGACACACACGACACACACGACACACATGAAACACACGTCACACATGACACACATGAAACACACGACACACATGACACACACGACACACACGACACACATGAAACACACGACACACACGACACACACGACACACACGATACACACGACACACATGAAACACACGTCACACACGTCACACACGTCACACACGACACACACACACACACACACACACACACACACACACACACACACACACACACACACACACACACAGTGTGTCGTGAAAATATACAAATACGCAAGCTAATTTTTGGCGCCAATTTTAATTTATTATATTATTTTTTTTGGCTGAATAACGTTTCACTCATTCGACCCGGCTGAATAGTGCTGCCACTTGTGTCAATTAATGTTGTAAGGGAGAAAAAAAAAAAAAGACCATAACCCAAGCCAATTTTTGGCGCCAATTAGTTGTTACTCAAAATGGAGTTCGTGTGCGTGGTGTGTGTGAAAGTTTTGCCTTCTCTGCGATAAATGTTGGATTTTTTCTTGTAAGTTTTCATTGAATGTATTAAATATTATTAGAATTATTATATTTCTAATAATGTATGTGTAGAATATCTATTATCTAGTTAGAATTATGCGTATACGATGGAAATATGGATGGCGTCGGTGAGGTGTCCCTCTATCTCTCGTGCTTATTTTTCTTATTCGTTTTTTTTCTTTTCTTTCTTTAAATTCTTTAATAATATATTATAAAAAAATATTTTCTACGCATATATTATATTATCGTTTCCAAATCGAAACGTGTTTTATAATAATATTATACCAATTTTTAGTTTTTCAATACTGTTAGTAAGAACATTTATTGTAAATACATTTAGACGTAGTTGTTAATGAAACTGGCTTTGTTCGTAATGTATAGAAATATTTTGTGGCCCTGAAAAGGGCCTTTTTAATTTTCGTAGTACGATGATTCGCGTACGAATGTGATATGATGATATGCTGCGATCCTAGTTACACACGAGACACACTATCGTCGCACCATAGTCACACAACACAAGAGGCTTCTCAGGCTTTCTTCTCTGTCTTCTTGGGGAGGAGGACCGCCTGTATGTTAGGCAGGACACCGCCCTGTGCGATTGTCACGCCGGAGAGCAGCTTGTTCAGCTCCTCGTCGTTGCGTATCGCCAGCTGGAGATGTCTAGGGATGATTCTGGTCTTCTTGTTGTCTCGCGCCGCGTTACCGGCCAACTCTAGGACTTCGGCGGCCAGATACTCCATGACGGCCGCAAGGTACACCGGTGCGCCGGCACCGACGCGCTCGGCGTAATTTCCCTTCCTCAAAAGCCTGTGGATACGTCCCACGGGGAACTGGAGTCCGGCACGGTTCGAACGAGACTTTGCCTTTCCCTTCACTTTGCCACCTTTGCCGCGTCCAGACATGATGATAGGATGGAGAGTAGTTTCGAAAAGTTGTAGGCGTAATAATACACGCGACCAGCGTATAACGTAGTTCTGCACGGTATGCGATATGAAACTACGTGGTCATCTCACATTCCCCGTAAGGGGAGTGGGGAAACGGTATCGGGGCATAGCCCCCTGACCGTGGGTTCTTCCGCCGCCCACAAATATGGGCGCGTCGCTGGGAGGGCCCTTCTAGGACCCTTGAGGTTTCTTGATGTTAGTCGCCCGGGCGATCGGCCCGGCCGGGTGAGACCCTATTCAGGGAGGCCCAGCCAGGCGATCAGCGGCCGTGGCGGCTACTGAGCGTCATGTTGGTGAAGGAGATCCCTAGGGAGCGCATAACGGTCCGGTGGGCGGGCGTGCCAGGGGGCTATGTCCCTGACGTGGGCATGGGATGAAGCGTCCGCCCTCTCCAGCATCCCCCTACTGGAGCGGCGGATGAAGTCGTCGATGCTCTCGACACGGAGGTCACGCTGTATGGTAGCGTTCCTCACGTACCGAGGAGCACAGACTATTCTTCGTAAGCAGATCGCCTGTTGCACACGGAGTCTCTTTCGCTGGGTTTCTGAGGCGAGGGCGAACCACGCCGGGGCTGCGTACGTTAGTCGGGACCTAACATAGGTCTTATAGATCCCGACTTTCGTACGCAGGGGCAGCTTCGATGACATGACCGGGCGGAGCTGTGCCATCGCGGCCTTGGCGCTGTTGATAGTGGCGGTGATGTGTCCTTTCATTGAGAGGTAGCAGTCGATGTTGACACCGAGGTATTTAGCCTTGGCCGTCCACTGTATTTCTGTGGCTTCCATCACTAGGGGAGGCGGCGGGCGTCGGTCGTGGCCTATAGAGACTGCCTGTGTCTTAGCGACGTTGACCGACAGTCTCCATTTGTCCAGCCAGGGGGGCAAGGCGTCGAGGGCCCTCTGCATCTTCACGGCGGCGTGGGTGACGTTGAGGACGTGGTGATGAGCGCCACGTCGTCCGCGAAGAGAGCAAGATGGGCGCCGGCGGCTACCGGGATGTCGTCGGTGTACAGCGAGTATAGAAACGGCGACAGCACGCTTCCCTGGGGGACTCCGGCTGAGATTGGCTGCACGGATGACGTGGCGTCGTCCACCCGGACGCGGAAGGAGCGCCCCCGGAGGTACGACGCCACCAGCTGCACGATGCGCCTGGGTGTTGAGGTGGCGATGAGCTTGCAGAGGAGACCCTCATGCCAGACTCTGTCGAAGGCCTTTTCGATGTCGAGGAATGCGGTAACAATCTTCTCCTTCTTGTTGAGTGCTGCGGCGACGTGGTGGAGTACTCGAGCCACCTGGAGTGTCGTCGAGTGGCCGCTGCGGAATCCAAACTGTTCGGGGCGCGGTTGGAAATGCGCCCGGAGATGTGACAGGAGGAGTCGCTCAAACAGCTTGGACATCGCTGAGAGGAGGGTAATCGGCCTGTAATTGCCCGGCTGTAGTGGGCTTTTCCCCGGCTTGGGTATAAGGATGATCACGCCTTTCTTCCAAGGCTCGGGGAAGTGTCCTGTCCTTAGTATTGAATTGAAGAGCGGACCAGTGTGGCGATGGTCTGGCGCGGTAGGTGACGCAGTGCCCCATTCGTCACTCCGTCTGGTCCCGGGGCTTTGCGTGGCTTCAGACCCGCGATCCCTTTTCGCACCTGGGAGGGTGATAAAAAGAGAGGGGTTTCCTCAGGCGGTATTGGCGTGCGGAGAGATTCAGCTACGGCGGCTTCGGTTTCTGCATGGAATCGTGGATCTCTACTGGGGTTAGGAGAGAACTGAGTTGCCAGGTGTTCGGCGAAAATCTCTGCTCTCTCCGTAGAGTCATAGCATCGGGAGCCGTCGGTGCGGAGCAAGGGTCGCGTGGGCGGCTTCTTCTTGGAGAGCTGACGACTCAACCGATGGAGTGATGTCGTGTCGTCAGCGGCTTCCTCCAGACGTCGATCCCAGCTGTCGGCTGAGGCGTCTTCCAGCACACTCTTGATTCGCTCAGCGAGCCGATTCAGTCGTGTTTTGGTAAGGGGGTCCCGGGTCGTCTGCCAGCGTCTCCGTGTACTCCTCTTTTCCTCGAGGAGGCGGCGCAGTTCAGGAGGGGGTGGTGGTAGTCGTCTAGTGTTGCTAGCGGGGGCGGTGGCTTCCTCGACTGCCTCGGTGATAGCCTCGGACAGCTTGGAGGCCAGTGCGTCGATGTCTTCGTCTCCCTCAAGGGGCTCAATCCTTGAGGGAGAGTTGCGGGTCATCAGGTCTGCGAACATATCCCAATTGGTTCGTCCCTTGGCTGGCAGCAAGCCTACACGGAGTGGCGTAGTGGGGATGGTGGCAAGCACTGGCATGTGGTCCGATCCATGGTCATCGGGGATCACCTCCAGCGTCAAATGAGGCAATCCCTTGTGTACGGCGAAGTCGATGACATCGGGGGAGCTGCTAATCGTCCAGGGGTAATGTGTTGGTACTTCTGGGCCGGTGGTGAAGTAGTGGTGCCTTTCCGAGTCCGTGAAGAGGCGCCTGCCGGCGGTGCAGGTGATAGCGGCGTTCCAGGCTGGGTGCTTCGCGTTCCAGTCGCCTGCCACTAGAGTAGGAACGGAGGCATCCAGTAGCGATCGTACTTCAGTGAGGTTAATGTGATTGCCTCCCGGTCGGTAGACGGCGTAGGCATGGAAAAGCGCTCCGTCCATGCTTATCTCCACCCCGAGGGCCTGAAGGGTAGGCGAATTGAGCCTGTTGGGTAGATCTCTGTGCGGGATACCTCTCTTCACCAGCACAAGTAATCCTCTACGACGGGTGACGCTTGCCGTGTATTCCTGTCTGTAGTGATGGTAACCGGGGAAGGATATGGTGTCAGTCGGGCCTAGGTGAGTCTCGTTGATTAGTGCGATGTCGATGCGTTGCTCCCGGAGAGTCCACCTCAACATGGTGGTCTTGGAGCGCAGGCCGTTGGCATTCCAAAGTAGTATCCTTGTCTCAGCCATGGCGAAGCAAGGATACCATTCCGTTGAGTACGACCGCTGTAGGGTCCCCTCCAGTCTGCAGCGCAACGAGTACGTCCTTCAGTATCTCGATTGCAGCGTGCAGAGTGGCATTCGTATGTGGAGCTGGAGCTGGAGCTGGAGCTGGAGCAGGCCGAGCTGTCGAGGTTGCGGTGGAGGCTGCGGCTGTGGCAGGAGCTGCAGATGTGGAGGCTGCTTGAGGCGGATGAGGCGGGGCGGTGACTGCGGCCTGAGTGCCGCCCTTTTTTCCGCGCTTTCGGTTCTTCTTCTTCTTGAGGGGAGCGGCTGAGGCCCCCCTGGGAATGGGCTCGTTTGCAGGTGCCATCAGAGTGGCACCTTGGTGTTCCTGGACTGTCGTAACCGCAGTTGGAGCCTGCGAGGGTTGGGAGCGCTTGATCTCCCGTGTGATTGCCACAGCTCCAGCCCTCTTGTTCCGCAGCTCCCTCTTAAACTGCGGGCATGAGGAATGGTTCGCTGGGTGGGGGCCGCCACAGTTGGCGCAGGTGGCAGGTTCCTCTAGGGGCCGAGGGCAGTCGCGCGCTGCGTGCTCACCGCCACATCTGACGCAGGCCAACGGGCGGTGGCAATGGTGGCTGGAGTGGCGGTATGCCTGGCAGCGGTGACACTGTGCAGGTCCTCGCTTGCCGCGCCAGGCCTCGATGATGACGCCTGGCATGCACAGCAGCTCCGTCACTTGGTAAATTTTAGGCGTCAAATTGGGTGTTTGAGCTAGGATGGCCAGGAAGATGCATCCCGGCCTCCCCTGTCTAGCTTTGATTGGACGGACGAATTCTGGCTTAAATCCAAGTTCCTCCAGAGCCTCTTGGATTTCTGCCGGTTCTGTCGTGGTTGGTAGCCCCCTGATGGCTACCTTGAGGCTGCGTTCCGTTGGCAGGGAGTAAGAGAACCATGACACCCGTTCGGTCTTCTCCAACTCCCCCAGGTACCTCTGGATTACTCGGTACTCCTGGTCCGAGGCGGGTGAAAATCGCACGCCTCTGCCATAGGGACGTGCGTTCGGAGCATGCCCCAGCTTCGCTCGGAGGGCCCTAAAGTGGGTTGCCCAATTAGGCAACGATTCTACCACTAGGGGCGGGTAGCGGGGTGCGGGTGGGGCGGCGGTCCTGGCGGGCGCTGGCGTCGTTGAGGTGGTGGCAGTCGGAGCACGTGTGGTTGAAGGCGTCTGGGTCCGTAGGGCGTCGGCGAAAGTCGTTGACTGAGACGTGGTTGGTGCGGCTGCGGGGGCGGCGGGGGCGGGGGCGGCGGGCGCGGGGGTACCGCTAGGGCCAGGAGCTGGTCGGTTGCGTAGTCGGGGGTCTCTGGAACTCTCGACGCAGGGTCTCTTCCTTTCTTCGGGGGCGGCATCTGGCGTGCGTTGGCGCCTTACGGGGGTGCTGATGGCTTCGTCTCCCATGGGTTGGTCTTCTGGTGTCTCTTGTTCCCTCATCCTGTCGTTGAGGAGCATGGATATTTGCTCCATCAACGCTCGCGACAGGCAACCCCTCTTCTGAAGCTCGGCGACTACAAGTATGTCCCGGTTTAGGACCGACTGAGGCGAGAGAGGGGGGTCTTCTGTACGTGCGGGGGCGGAGGGGGAGCGCTGTAGCTGCGGAGTCTTTGTTTTGGGACGTGACGTCCTTTGGGCGGGCGCTGGGTCCGCGCGTTGGTAGGGCGCCGGTGTCGCCGGTCCGTGTTCCGCCGCGACCTGCGCGAGAATATCGCGAGGTACGACGGAGCGAGGGGCACGGTGGTCACGCGGCCCGGATGGTGCTGGCATCGGTGCGCGCTGGGCGAGTGGGGTGTCGGCGGCGGTCGTCTCGGTCGTCGGGTGACGCGTCTGCTGCGAGCTGCGCGAGCGCGACCGGATGCGGGGCGGCTTCGGTTCTTCTTCTCTTCCGCTCATGGCGGTGGGGAGGCGTTATCGGACGACTGTCTTCGCGACCCACGCAACCATCTATGGTCGGGCTTCGACAAGGGGGATAAAGGGGAAATCCCCTCGGCGCGATGCGCGGCCGGATTCCACCGAGTTTAGTAACTAAACCCGGTAGGAATGCCGTATTGGTATTTGTGTTGGGTCCGTGCGATGCTTAGGTCGATATGAAATAGCTAGTTCACGCATTTAAATAGTACATCGCGAGCATCGACAGTAGGTGGGGATGCGAGCGAGTAAGCGATTGAACGAGAGCTAGTACGGAATGGGACGAACTTACACGACACGGTCCGCAAGACGATGAGAGAGTCTACGGGGGCCGAAAGTTATTTGAGATTTTTTATTTATATACAATAATAAATTATGTATATTATATGTCAACCTTAAGGGCCTTATTGACCGGGATATTTATATAATAATTATTTTTATCTTATAATTTAGGCAATAATATTATAATTTAGGCGAAAATAACGCTGTCTGTCCGTCTGTTACCTTTTCACGCTTATATCCGCTGAACCGATTTAGATGATATTTGAATATATATTATTTTTTAAAGTCCTAAAGGTACTTACTTTTCTATACCTATGTATATATTAACTTTAATCATTTAATTTGTGAAGAAAAACAAATAAATAAAAAAACAGAAACAACAAACATGGCTATAACTTTAAATGTCGTTTCTTTGTGTTTCAGGTGTTCGTCTGGCCGGGTGTGCGTGTGATGGAGGACGAAGGAAGGAAGAAAGGAAAGAATCGGGATATTGTGGGTGCGCGCGCGATGGCTAGGTGCGCTCTTTTGTGACGTCTCATCGTTTGAAACTTTATTATTATAAAATATATATTATAACGCTGTCAGAAATATTTGTTAGCCCTGAAAAGGGCTTTTTGTCGTGCTGTTATGCACACTGCATTCCGACGCTCCCGACGGCGTAGAGACGTCGCGGTGTCTTGTGTCGCGAGAGATGGCACGCAGCAGATTTTACGAAGCGTGTGTGATGCGAGGATACATTACTTCTTCGAAGCTGCGGCGGCTTTCTTGGCGGCGGGCTTCGACCTGGGCGTCGCGGCGGCGGCGGCCTTCTTCGGTTTGGGGGCTTTAGGTTTCTTGGTCGGCGGCTTGGCGGTCTTCTTCGCCTTGGAGGCGGCTCCCGCCTTCGCCTTGGAGGACGCCGCGGACGCGGAAGCGGCGGCGGCTGCCTTCTTGGCCGCCGCGGAGGCGGCCGCCGGCTTCTTCTTGGCCGCGGCGGCCTTCTTGTCCTTTATGGTAGCCTTCGGTTTCGCCTTCGACGGCGAAGCGGCGGCAGCCTTCTTGCCGCCCCTGGCGCCGGCCGAAGCGGCGGACGCCTTCTTAGATTTAGCACCGGAAGCGGCGCCGCCGGCCGCAGCAGCTGAGGCGGCCTTACCGCCGGCCGCAGACTGCTTGCTCTTGGACGCGGACGATTTAGACTCCAGTTTGAAACTACCCGATGCGCCCTTACCTTTGGTCTGTATGAGGGCGCCGGATTCGACGGCGCTCTTCAGATACTTCCTTATGAACGGCGCCAGTTTCTCGGCGTCCACCTTGTACTGAGCGGCTATATATTTCTTGATCGCTTGCAGGGAGGATCCGCTGCGCTCCTTCAGCTCTTTGATGGCGCTGTTCACCATCTCCGAGGTCTTCGGGTGCGTCGGCTTCGCCTTAGGCTTCTTGGCGGCGGCGCCGCCTGCGGCCGCCGCGGACGCCTTTGGTTTCTTCGCGGGCGTCGCCGGGGCGGGGGCTTCGGATGCGACTGCGGTATCGGCCATTTTTCTTCTTCTGTTTATTATATTTATAGTTGATATAATAATCGTGTACAAAACGCACACAGAGCACACACACACACACAAAACTAACTTAACTGCACGCGAGAGTCACGACGAGAACACTGTACTAGTATAGTGATAGCGACGAGCTAGCGAGTATGTACGTGGGGATACGTGTACGCGCCGGCGTAGAGGTCGCTAGTGGCAGTAAGGGTACGAGCAATACCGTAAGGAGAGCCGCGATGTCGCTAGACATTTTCTCGTACGAACACTTAAAACTTTTCACTAACACGTATCCCGTTAATTATGTTTTATATGTTATTTCGAGACCCGATCGAATCGCTGAACCCTAGTTTCGTTTAATTTTGAACCTGTCCACGTACCCAGAGGCCCAACGAGACGTTCGGATGCGACGCTAGGTCGCCGAGGACGTTTAAAATCGTCGAGGTGCTAGTCGCGTACCTCGGGTCCAGTTTAAAAGTTATTTTTCTCTATAAGACAATATTAAAACGTTTCGATTTATCGACAGATCGAAGGCGAAGAATACTCGCCGACGTGGTGCTGACGCGCACCGGGGACATCGAAAATTTGACACGATTTCGAGGACCTCCAAGTCGAGCCTCGTAAAACACTAAGCGACCGCACATGGACGGCGGACCGACGCATCGGTGGGTTGATATTATGATGATTTTTCCTTCGAAACTATAACAATACAATATATCTTTTAATATAACAAATAAAACATCTTTCAGATTGATCGACCTACGCGTCTACGTGAGAATTACCTACGTTATTCTACGTCTCCGAAAAGAAGAAACCGAACGGAGGGCGTACTACGCACTCCGTCGCAGCGCGGAATGCTAGAACGCGGGGCTCGAGTACTACTAGCATTAGAGTGTGTCAGGCGTGTATGTATGTTTTATGTTTTTAAATTATTATTATTATTATTATAACGACGATTCTATTTTGACGGAAATTAATAGATTTTTAATGTACACGCGGTGGTCTCGATATGTAGACATATTACGATCATATAAGTGTGTTTATAAAATTACACACATTATTCAATCGTAATACTACTTATCGTACGCAATGAATACAATAATAATATTCTCCATCCATTCCATCCGTCCGTCCGAAGCTCTTTACTTAGTTACAGTAAAATAATGTATAGAGCGTTCGTTTGTCCACAATATAACTATATTATATTATGAGCTTACTATTATAAATTTTTTTCTATTATATTATTTATCTATTATATTTAAAATAAAAGTGTTCTTATGCAACGGTCGCAGAGAAAGAATGTGTCCATCATCATCGTCATCGCACACACCACCTCGAAGACACCGCCCCGTCCGCATGCTGCGTGCGTGCGTTCGTTCGTATATCTCCAACTGGTCGTACGACAACGAAAGTCTCGGTGCGTAGGAATATAATGCAGGTATGTATGTATGTATGTGAATATCTTCTATACATAGTATTTACATATATACATAATAAAATTGTAACTAAGTCGAATCTGTACATTAAATATTTTTTTTGGAAAATGTAATTGAAATAGACATTATTATCAATACAATTGGATAGTTTTTACCTAAGAATTTGGTTATTATTATATCCCCCCCTCTCTCGTCAGATTTGCTCACCGCGCAAACGTCAATTGTTGTGTGTAATCGTTTCGATGAATCGTGGTTTATTTATAGCGTAGGTTTTTTTTTTTTTTCCATTTGTATAATAAATATTTATATGACTAATGATAATTAATGTGAATGCGAGAGACGTCCAATGTAACGTAAGAAACATTATGTAGGACAACAGAAACTTATGCGGCCCTGAAAAGGGCCTTTTTATTTTTAGAATTGTCGAGCGACGACCGGGTGGGTCGTTCGTTGGTGGTGGTGGTGGTGGTGACCGCCCGCCCGACCGCCGCTGTCGTCTAGCAGTCACACTACTTGCGCTTAACCGCCGAAACCGTACAGAGTGCGGCCCTGACGCTTCAGCGCGTAGACAACGTCCATCGCGGTGACGGTCTTCCTCTTGGCGTGCTCAGTGTAGGTGACGGCGTCGCGGATCACGTTCTCGAGGAACACTTTGAGTACGCCGCGGGTCTCCTCGTATATCAGACCGGATATACGTTTCACGCCGCCTCTGCGCGCCAGACGACGGATAGCGGGCTTGGTGATACCCTGGATGTTGTCACGGAGCACCTTCCTGTGGCGCTTGGCACCACCTTTTCCCAATCCCTTTCCACCTTTACCGCGACCGGTCATCTTGAGCGACTTCTGTTAGTACACAATAATATATCCACACACACAAACCAACGCACAGCGACAGCCGTAGATACGTCCGAACGGAGCAAAACACGTAGCACTTGTGAATTTCGAAATGCGGTTACGTCCCCTTTTATATACTATCGCACCGTGCCCGCGATACGACTCTGCGTCGTCCACGTTCGACAAAGTTCGTCGACGTAGCGGTTAAAGGGGAAGAGGTGATGCACATGCTCTTGTTGTTCAAATTTAAACGTAGTATATTGTAAAATATGTATAATAATATAATGCTCGCGTAAATATATCGCGAACAATAATACCTTCACATCATACATCATAAAATATAGCTCGTTTTAATATATAGATAATAATAATTTTATATTTATACTGCGTATGTGTTTATCTACAATAATAAAGTCTAGTTCATTTGTTTTAAGTTATCCCCCGTTAAAATTGAGTAAATATGTATGTATGTTATAATATTACTTTTATTTTTCTTATACATACAATATAATAATAATAATAATTCATTTCGACCGCTATCGTAGCGTGTGTACGCGTCGTTAGGACGAACGTACACATAATTTCCGTGTAACGAATTTTTGTCATATTCATATTATATAAAACCAATAAAGTAAGTATGTATACGTAACGTTATTCTTTTAATAATAATTATTTATTTATATGAGCACCTATAGATTAGAGAGTAGACCAGTGGCGTGGTCTTGTGTTCATTTATTATGTTGAACAATATTCTGTTCCATTGTGTACATAATGTATGTATGTTTGTATATATATATATATATATATATATATATATATATATATATATATATATAAAATGTAATAATATTATAACTAAGACGAACTCTGTGTACACGTATGAAACCAAATTTTAATACAGATTAATTTGTGGCCCTGA